AGAGGCAACCTGTGAACTGTGATAAGGTATCCAGGAGGGTGTGCTTGAGCAGGCAGGCTGCTGCGCAGAGGGCGGCATGCTTATTAAGAGTGGTGCCTGGGTTAGGGCAAGGTCTCGGCGTGAGGGGCCTCGATCCATCAGCCATCCCTGGACCTAACTCTGTCTTCCTTTCCCTTGCAGCAGGCAGGCCCTGGAGAGTTCCGGACACTGCGGAAAGGCTTCTCTCCATACCACTCGGAATCCCAGCTCGCGTCCCTGCCGCCCTCCTACCAGGAAGTCCTGCAGAACGTAAGTGTCCCCACCAAAGGTCCCCAGTGTTCCTTTAGAATTGTTGCTCTGGGCTCCAGAGGAGGCAGAGCCGAGACAGGCTGGTCACAGCCCAGGGGATGTGGGTGGTCTAGGGCACAGTTGTGTCTAGGGCAGCTGTGGGCAAAAGCCTGGGCTTGGGCTGCCAGCCCCCGAGTGACCTTCTTACTCTCTACCCTCCTGGGGAAGGGACCCTGGGCCTCTACATCCTTGGAGCCTCATGGGGACCCAATGAGGAGGTGAGAAGTGAAGCCTTGGGTAGGTGACGTTGCTAGACTTTAAGGGCGGCGTCTGATGGCCATGCAGGGGGCTGTCAGCCTGACCACCGTATTCTGCAGTGTTCTTGCGTCTGTAGCAGAAAGAGGAATCCTGCTGGCCTGATATTTAGGGGTGGGGTGCATATCTAGGCTTTGGAGCTGAGGGATGAAGCCTCTTAAGTTAATGGGCTCTGTACTGGGACCGCCACAGGCCTCCAGGGTTATCCGCTATGTGCTCACCTGGGCTCCGCCCTGCCTTGGATGGGGAGCAGGTGACTGCTTGGAGCCAGCTCTCAGGAAGTGACCATCCATTTCTGGGTCACACCCTGGGCAGGCATGTCTGTCACCTCTGTGCAACTCGAGAGAGAATTGTGGGATGCCTTGCAGTTTGCCATTCTCCCCTCTGCATGGGACAGCGAGGGAGCACCCCCGGCCGGGGGAGTCCCTGTGGCTGGTCACACACTTGACACCTGTATACTAGCCTCTTCCAGTATGGGCATCTGGAGGGACTTCCTGGACAGTGTGTGGGTCCAGCTCCGGCTCTGTCTTCCCCCCATGATGACCAACAAGGTTGACCTTGGCTTCTCTGTGGCCTCGGTGGGTCACAGCACTGGCACAAGAGGACTCGTGCTACGCCCCCCCCTCCTGTCCCCCCCATAACTATCCTCTGTGGTTTCTCTTCTGAAGCCTGGCTGCCTTCTCCACCTGTTGACACTGTGCAGGTAGGCAAGCCCACAGACTGCACATAATTCAAATATTTATCCAGGAGCCCCGTGGCCGAATGATGCTCTAATTGCTTCATGATGAAGGGCTCAGAGCACTAAGTGATGCCACCCTGGGGCCGGCTCCTCAGGCGTTCCTCCTTGTGGCCCTCCTGCATCCTGCTTTCCTCCATTCCCGTGCCGGAGAACAGCATGCTGAATGGTGTGAACGGAGGACTTTGAAGTCACCTGCACCCGTGAGGTGTAGCGCTGGCTCTGGCTCTGGGTCAGCCTGCCAGGTGCCAGCGCGTCACTCACAGCCTCTAGAGGACACGCCCCAGGCTCCAACGGTGCTGACCGAAGGCTAGCGGAGTGAGGGGAAGGTTCTGGAAGGCTTCGTGGTGGAAGCCATGGAGGGGATCCTGTGTCTCACCCCACAAGAGGGGCTGTCACACTGCTTTGGGGGAGGAGGAAGTGGTCCTTCCAGGGCTGTCGTAGATTACAGGGCCGCATGGGCAAGGGCATACTGGTGTCCATATGGGCCTGGAGGTCAGGGGGTCAATGTGGGTTGTGGATCAGGGGATATTTCTGTTCCGTGTTCAGTTCTGTGAACTGAAGACCTTCAAATCACCTTCCCTGTTTAAGATAGTAAGCCAAGGGGCAGAGGGCCAGGGGGAGCTGAGGTGACAGACAGCTTTTGGGGTGGAATGCCCCATGGATGCCAGCCAGAGCAGTTACTGAAGCTACTGAAGGCAAGGGGTAAAGGCTCAAAGGTCAAGGCTATGGACCTGACTGGTCACCTTGGCCCTCAGCACTGGTACTGCCAGGTAGGTCACTGCCTCCTCCATACTGGGGCCAGCCTCCTTAAGATGCACAGGGCTTGGGGTTGGGGATTTAGCTCAGTGGTAGAGTGCTTGCCTAGCAAGTGCAAGGCCCTAGGTTTGGTCCTCAGCTCTGGGCGGGGGGTGGGGGTGGGGTGGGGGTGGGGTGGGGGGGGGTGGGGTGAGGAGGGAGATGCACAGGGCTCAACAGGACAAGGTCAAATGTGGAAAGTCCCCAGATAAAAAGGGAGGGACTTTCCCCCCCTTCCCTGCCGCCAGCCTAGGGAGGAAGTGGTTTGTAATCCCAGCATCCTGACAGGAGCACTCAGGCTTGGACAGGCATCTTGGGAAAAGCTGGTCTCTACGCTCTGGGTATCAACTCTGGGGTGGCAGAGACCCGAGCTCCAGGTTTAGACCTATGTACCCCAGCTGACTCGGGCAAGCTCACAGTCCTCGTCTGTGAGATGGGTTTATGTAATCACGCTGGATTGATGTGCCCAGGGCAGGTGCTTGGTGAGGGCCCGAGTGATGCGAACCCAGTGCATCAGTCAGTCACGCTCGATCAGTCATTAACTGTGGGGCAGTGGCCGTTACCCTTTTCAGAGCCCCGGGTCCTGCCCTCCTGACACCCACGGCTTGGGTGACTTGAGCCAGGAGGGCTGGACGGCACAGCAGTCTGTCCATCCGTCCTCTGCATTTCATTTGCTGCTGCTTCCTGGAGGGGCCCGCAGCAGTCAGTGAGAAAAACCAGTACAGATGAGAAAGTAGGCCGGTGGCATCGGGCCGAACTGGGATATAAGGTCTTCCCTGGGACAGGGTGGCAGTACCCACAGGGAGGGGTGTGGGCACCGCTCACCCAGGATGAGGTGCTAGGACCTCTTTATTCATTTGACTGGCACCCTCTACTGGCCAGTGAGGGAAGTGTGACCTCTGCTCCAGTCCATCCTATCTTGGGCTGCAGCCCTGTGGGTTAATATAGCCCCGACCACTCACTCGCTCCCTTTCCCTATCCGGTTTTCCTATTTACCAGTTAGACAGCCTGGGTAGAGTTAAAGACACACCCACTGGGCATTCTCCAGGGTTTTGCATGCTTCCTAGGACATAAGACCCTTTCTCTTATCCAAGGAAGGAAACTGAGGCTCATAGCAGGCTAAGGCATGAATCAAGTGCCAGTTAAAGGGACCATGGCCAATGTTGGCTTTCCTAGATCCTAAGCCCCGTTGGGGCAGAGTCCCATGCCCGTGCTGGCACTGGTTGGTGAAAACAGGAGCAGGTCAGCCTATGAGGTCCTGGGGATCATCCATGCCAGGTGGCCAGAGAGACGTGGACTTGGTGGACAGACAGGCTGTCAGTGGAAGGCTCTGGGCAAGAGGAAAACCACAAGGCCCCTCCTGGGATTATGTGATGGTCTAATAGAATGGCCACGGCTGGACAGGAGCCAACTCTCTTGGCTCAGCTTCCCTGATTGCTGGGAGGAGCTTTCAGGGTCCATGTCTTGCAGAGGGCATATCTGTGTCCTCAGGCTGATCCCCAGGTGCCAGGGTATAGCCATCTAGTGCTCGGGTTGCAGGACACACTCCCTCACCACTTGCTCCTGGGGCACTTCTTGGAGTTTTCTTATTGCCCTGTGGTCCATAATTATAGCCCAAGGCAGGAGCCCTCCCCTTGCTAGTGGCCAGCAGGAGGGAGGGAAGCCAGAGGGAGGCTGGGTCCCGTCCTCTAGCAGACCTTCAGCTTCTGACAGGCAGGGTCCCCTCCTGGCCCAGCCTGGTCTGTCTTCTACTCCTTCCTTTGAACATGTGGCTGGTGGCTGGGTCACTACCCAGGTGGCCAGGGCAAGGGTGAGAGCAGGACTTGGGAGGGTTGAGTGCGCTTTGGACTTGGATAGGGGGGTTTGAGTCCAGCCCTTCCTTCGTCAGCCTGCTGAGTAACACGAATCTCTGGCTCTCTTGAGATGCCCATGCTTCATCTGAAGAACAGTATACAGGGTTCCCCACCCCCCATACAGGGTCTTCTCCCCCTACACACATACAGGGTCTTCTTCCCCCACCCCCATACAGGGTCTTCTACCCCCCACACATACAGGGTCTTTCCCCTCACAGAGTCCCCCACACACATACAGAGCCCCTCCCTCCACATACCTTTGGCTCTGCGAGCCACCAGGCAGTCTACAGAAGAGGTGGTGTGACCAAGAAGCATGGGGACTAGCCAGGTGGAGAGAGCCCCAGGATGCCCAGCTCTCACCCATGCTTCTTCTCCAACTCCCTCAACGCCCCCCCCCCATTTCCTCTTGTCTGGATATTAGCTCCATGTAACCCAGGCTGGCGTCCCCCCAGTGACCGGCATCTGGGACCCAGCCAGGGGGCTCACACGTGCCATTCTCTCCACAGGGCCCAGCCTGCCCTGTCCCCGAGCTGCCTTCACCCCCTTCCGCCGTCTACAGTTCCGCGGGACAGAAGCCCGAGGCTGTTGTGCACGCCATGAAGGTAAAATGCGCTCGAGCACACAGTGGGACCACAGGACCATGGGACCATGGCCCCCACAGGTGCTCTGTCTCCAAGCTCAGGGCACTTGAACAGTGGCGGGTGGGGGACTGTCGCTCGGTGGTTGGGGGCACACGCTTGCCTGGAGCACCATGGGACCTGGGCAGGATGTGGTCCTGAGTGTGTCAGTTGTCTGCTCACCTGCCTGAGGTGTTGCCGCTGGGGAAACTCACATGGTATGGGAGGCCAAAGAGAGTGCCAGCCGGGGTGGGAGTGAGGCTAGACTTGAAGGTCCAGGCTAGCCTTGTGCCTCTGGGTCCAAGCAGACGGGCTTCAGGAGAGTGCCGTCCAGAGCGGGCTTGCCTACCTGAACCCAGTAGCACTCCAGGGCTCTCCTGGCTTCCTTTATATGCATATCATCTGCGTGGACTCTCAGTCTTTGTGGCTGCTAGCAGAGGCTGCCACGTCCCACATGGAGGGGTACAGGCTGTCGTCACGTCCTTTTGTGGCTCTTGGAGCAAGTCCACCCCAAGTCCCTGTCCAACCCCCCTGGGTTCCTTAGTGGCTCTTTGCTGGCGGCATCCACCTGACACCTGTTTCTTCAGGTTCTGGAAGTACATGAGAACCTCGACCGGCAGCTTCAAGACAGCTGTGAAGAGGACCTGAGTGAGAAGGAGAAGGCCATCGTTCGAGAGATGTGCAATGTGAGGCACTCCCTGGGGCTGGGGCTTGGCCTGGGCCCTGGGGGTGTGGTCACCTGCTTTTCACTTGCTCAGCTATGACTGGGGGAAAGAGGACCGGCTCTGGGAATCCTGGCTTATTACCACTTACCATGCCTTCCCCTGGAGAGAGGCCCCTGACCTCTCTCACCAGATCTGTCCCTTCCCAGGAGTGCCATACCTGGGGCTCTAGACAGAGCTTGAGCTCTAGGCTTCATCCCAAGTGTAGGGCCCTGGGTTTCTTTGGCAACTGGTGCCCCCTGGTGGCCTTGCAGTTAGTGCTCAGACCTACCTGGCCATGCACGTGGAACACTGCCCGGTGGGAGAGCCTCATCTTCGACTCCCAACTACCGCTTGCATCCCCATTGTACCCTCACAGAAGCCAGCAGGAAAGGGGTTTCCCAGGCTCTGAACCTGGGGTCTAGGTGGGGTGGGACGCCCTGAGGTGCACCTCATATTGTTTCCCGAGTCTGTGGATCCCAGTGGACATCTACAGAGATGAGCTGACACCTAGCAGTGGCCTGCTTGGGGATCAGGCATAACTGTGACAGTGGGCAAAGGCCGAGTTTCAGCACCTCCACCTTCCTGCGGCCTCAGCTTTCTCTCCCAGCTCCATGGCTCTGCAGACGTGGGTGATTTTGCAGGGTGGTAAGGCAGTAGGTATGTGAGGCCAGTGGGTAGGGCTGGGTGAGCCCTCCACCTAACACCGTGTGCCTCCTCACAGGTGGTCTGGAGGAAACTGGGAGACGCAGCCAGCACCAAGCCCTCCATCCGGCAGCACCTGTCTGGTAACCAGTTCAAGGGGCCTTTGTAGGGCCGTTCCTCCATGGATGTGGACTGGCCCTGCTTGGAGTCCTGAGGCCCTAGACGTGGCAGAAACTCTGGCCCAGCACCGTCTTTCTCCGTGGTGAATTGTACATAGGACATGGCCTGCCCTGGTGTGACACTGACAGCCAGGCCTCCTCCACCTCCTGCCTCCCTCACCAGCAATCCTTGGGAAGACGATCAACAATGGGCTGTGCGCTGCAGCAGAGTGGCGGGGGG